CGTCGTGTGTGTGTGTGTGTGTGTGTGTGTGTGTGTGTGTGTGTGTGTGTGTGTGTGTGTGTGTGGCATACTCGGGGCTTTTGTTGGGCTACGCGTGCGATCGATCACGCTCCACTCTCACTTGTAGGTGCGAGAGAGAATTAGAGCGGCTTTGTTAATCGGTGGACGCATTGCAATTAGGGGCAGCTATTAAATTACGGATAGTGTTTTTATGTTTTGATCGCGCCGCACCAGTCAACCGATTGATCGATAACTCAATAACCATCGCATGATCATCACCGCTTCTACTTGGCATGCAAATTCTGCCGAGAATCGCTGCTGCGCATGCGCATTACATGCAGGGTCACGTGTCGCGCCCCTTGTGAATTTCGTGTTGAATGTTCGACCAGTTCGTCGGAGATTAAACACCCATCAAGCGCTGCCGAGCAGGTGGTGGCGACGTGAGCACGTATAGATGTCGCCACAGACGCGTCACGTGATGAAATGCGCAGGCGATATTCGCCGCAGCGCCGTTAGACCTGTGGCGCAGGTTTTGGGATAGGTCGGATAGCGCTTGCATATCATATTTTGTATGATATTTGCATGTATATTTTGACTTATCATATTTGTCTCTTAATGACGTGAGGACAATCACTACTGCGAGATGGTATGTGCAGTAAACCATGATACCCATGAAACGATGACGTCATAACATGTACAGACGCCCACGCTAGCGGTCGGCAATATCCTACTCGACATATTCAGATCGACATTAGACTATTATACTGGGGGGATTTTAATCAGTTGTCTTACTGATGATGCTATCTAATGAAGCTCTATTGAGGGATGAGGCTACTTGCCCAGTCGACGTTCGGCTCGGATAAGCTGCGTTAATGAATCGGAGAGAGATGCTGAGCCCGCTTGAGTTAGTTGACCGCTTCTGTATGTAGCGACCCATGAAACAAACATGCTTGTACGAAGAATCCTCTTGCGGCGTGCATAAACTCACGTTGTCTGAGGGCAGTTAGAGGACAACGCAAAGAAACGCGCATGCAAAGAAGAACTGTGTGTTCTTTGATCTCTGAACCGTCGGTGGTCGGATTAGAGAGAGACGCTGAGATAGAAGACTGATTAGAGCATATATGCGCGGTTGCTGTCAGCATCAATAAAAACACACAACAACTGACGCAGCACCAACTATGATAACAACAGCACCAAAAAGACAACATCAGAAACATTAAACAAACAACCAGAGCACGTAACAAAGAATAACAAACAAAGAAAACAACAACAACAACAACAACAACAACAACAACAGCAACAACAACAACAACAACATCAACAACAACAACAACAATAATAATAATAATATTATTATTATTATTATTAATAACGTATAGTTAACACGTATGTGACATTTTTTTACGACGCCAGTAGTAACATCTACATGGAGCTCACGCACATCCGAACCAATACAGCCAACACATCCGATCATACACGCGAACTATAATATTACACAATTATTATCGGGTTACGATATAAGCATTGAGTTTTATGGACTGAGATTATCAATGTTACCCGAGACCGAAGCTCGATTGACTATAGTCACTTCAATTAAAAGAAAGATGGCGTGAAAGTACCTTCACAGCAGCGCCACCTTGCGAGTGAACGTTGACCTTAATCGCTGCAGCAGTGACCTTCAACTTCATAGTCGATATGTTGTTGGAACTGATCTGCCGTTACGCGCTGTTGTTAGCATACATAGCGTGGCTGTCCTGTGTGTGAGGGGATGCCTGCTCATAATCTTTTAAGGCAAGCATAAAGAAGTGGCCATTTTAAGGAAAAGCTTCTTTCACATAGACAGGTGACCTTTAATATAAACGCGACTGAATCGATGATATTTATATTATAGATTCGTAGCGTGCGCGCACACGCACACGCAATATTACGTGTACCCCGCTCACTGTGCACACAAAACCAAAACAAATCTCCCAGACCAGCATAGAAAAATCCCACTAGCATTTTTCCACCGCGTCACATGGATCACGTGAGGTCACGTGAATGGAATTCTAACGCTTTTCTACTCGTTAATACATTTAGGTTCATGTTCACGTTAGATTAATTTCACTCGCTATAGCCTGCCCATAGTTTGGAACTCGTAAGAAAGCGTAGACGGAAACTATCACGTAGTGCGCATGCGTCATCCGGAAACCATATTATCGCGGGATTTGTCCCGTACGACCACGCGATTCTGCGACATGCGACTGCTCGTTTCAGACGACATGTCAGCCCCCCCCCCCTTCTCCCGCTCTTTGCTCTCAATCTCACTCGCACTCTTTCTCTCTATCTCTCTCTCTCTCTCTCTCTCTCTCTCTCTCTCTCTCTCTCTCTCTCTCTTTCTCTCTCTCTCGCTCTCTCTCTGTCTGTTTGTCTGTCTGTCTGTCTGTCTGTCTGTCTCTCTCTCTCTATGTGTGTGTGCCTCTTTTTCTCTCTGCTCTCAGTCAGCCCCTCTCTCGCTATCTTTCTCCTCTCTGTTTTCTCTCTCTCACACTCTCTATTTTCACTCTCTCTCTCTCTCACTCTCTCTTTTTACTCTCTCTCTCTCTCTCTTTCTCGCGCTCTGTTCTCTCTCACACACTCTCTCTGTTCTCTCTCTCTCTCTTTCTATCTCTGCTGCGGCGCTCTCCTCTCTCTCTCCTCTCTCTCTCTCTCTCTCTCTCTCTCGCTCCTCCTATTTCTTGCTCTCCCTTTCCCTCTCTTCCATCTCGACCCTCTCTCTCTCTCTCTCTCTCTCTTGTGATCCCTGGTTAGTGGCGGTCAATGCACCACCGTAATTATCATTGCCGCTTCAGTGTCACGCAACTCAATTGCCATCAGCTATATGATGCTGCGTGTCCGTGCTGCTAGCCTTCGTCCCGCACTGAGGGGCCATCTAAAGCATTACGAGCGCCGCGCACGAATGCCCACAGGCGCGAAGAACACGGCTACAACGTGCCGAGAGCAGAGCGGACCGCCAGCAATTCACACAAATAGCCGATCGCCTTTAGATGACGCGTGCATACAGCTGAGCAAATTACCCCGGCCATTGCCCTGCCTTGTCATATGTCAATTGTATCAACACCAGGCAGTGTTCTAATATTATAGCTCAACTCACACACACGCGCGCGCACGGATACACGCACACACACGCACTGCGCGCACGGCACACACCCACCGCGCACACCTCACCGCACGCGCGCACGACACACACACACATATATATAAATATCTATATATCTTATATATAAGTTAATATATCAAGTTATTAGTTTATATTAAAAAATCATAAATAACTAAGATACTTATATATCTATGATATTATTGATATTATTTTAATATATATTTATTTAGTTTATTTATTAGATTGAGCCGATACCGCGATCGATATATAAACATTTACTATCGTATGAAACCACCCATGTTAAATATATCAGAGGTGTATCACCATCGTCCAACCATGCCTAGCATTAGAATTCCGTCAATCCGCCTTCTGCTGCCTAGTGTTCCCGGTCCTCATGCGAGTGAGGCGTGCGGAAAATCATGTGACCCTATGAGTGGCGTCGTACCTGAAATCACAGTGCGGACGTTGTATATCAACTGCCTAAACGCGTTATGTCTTAATGATATATATATATAGCCTTACCCATGAATTCCCAATAGTAGACGACGGGAGGCATGGAAGCGTTGTCTTTAGTTATTATTAGTATAGAAACTGAATAATACTAAATAAATACACGCAGTATATTCAGCGAGTTCATATATTGTGTTATATATTTATATCTTTATACGCATGCGGTCTATTACAGCCTAAATGCATACTGCCACGCTTAAAACAAGAAATCTTCTTCCTATTATTCTGCACTCTTTTTGGCCTTTTTGTACACTCTCTCCTCACGTCTCTCCCTTCTCCCCTTCTCTCCGCCTCTCTCTCTCGTCCTTCTCTCTCTCTCTGTCTCCTCTCTCTGCTTTCTTCCTCTCCTCGTTCGCTCTCTCTACTCTCTTCTCTCTCTCTCTCCTCTCTCCGCTCTCTCTTTTGTGGCTTCCTCCATTGCTATCGGCGCATCCCTCTCTCTATATTTCCATCACTCAGATTTTACCTCCTTTCCTTCTTACTCTTATATTTCCTTTTTCTCTTTCTCTGTGTTCCCAATGCCATCCGCGTTGTGCATTCAAATGTGCGACGCTCGCGCACGACGTCGCACCTTTCGCTTCCCTAATTCCGTCGCGATCGTGTTTTTATTCTCTTCACCACGACTCGCCCTTGTCAACACCGACGTCCGCACGCATTAACCACTTTCAAAACGCGACGCTCGCCCTTTTGCAAACACGACGTCGCCTTTTTCAAACGCGACGTCGTCCCCTCTTTTCACCACGACGTCGCCCTTTTTCAAACGCGCGTCGCCTTTAACCGCGTCGGCCCTTTTTAACCGTGTCCGATAATCCATCGCCGCGGCGCTGCGCCCATCTAATTTCGCCCACTTCTTGGCTCGCGCCGTTTTACCTCGCTCGGCTAATTGCCTCTTTCTTTTAGGGCGGGGCGCCCCTATGCTACGCTTACTTCTCCGTCGTGCCCCCCCGCGCGCCCGCCCATGTGACATGCGTCGTTAATGCCGCTCTCTCTCTCTCTCTCTCTCCTCGCGCTCTCTCCATCTCTCTCTCTATCCTCCTCCTCTCTCTCCTCTTCGCTCTGCTCGTCTCATATCTCGTCTGTCTGTCTCTCTCTCTCATGTCCTTATCTCTGTCTGTCTGTCTCTCTTCTCTTCTCTCTCTCTCTCTCTCCTCTCTTCTTTCTTCTCTTCTCTCTCTGCCCTTTCTCTCCTTCTCGTCGTCTCTCTTCGCGCGCCTCTCTCTCTTTCTCACTCTCTCTTTCTCTCTCTCTCTCTCTCTCTCCCTCTTCCTCTCTCTCTCGCTCTCTCTCTCTGCTCTGCTCTCTCTCTCCTTCTCTCTCTCTCTCTCTCTCTCTTTTCTTCTCGCTCTCTGCTACTCTCTCCTCTCTCCTCCTCTCTGCTCCCTCTCTCTTTCTCTCTCTCCTGTCTCTCTCTCCGCAGCGCGCCTCTCTCTCTCTTCTCCCTCAGTCTCTCTCTCTCTCTCCTTTTCATCTCTCTCCTTCCTTCTCTCTCTATCTCTCTCTCTCTCGTGCATCTCTCCTCGCTCTCTCTCTCCTAGTTCCGTTTCCCTCCCTCTCTCTCTCTCTTCTCTCTCCTTCTCTCTCTCTTCCTCTCTCTTCTCTCGTCTCTCTCGTACTTCCTCATTCTCTTCACTCTCTCTCTGCTCTCCTCTCTCTCTCTCTCTCTCTCTCTCTCTCTCTCTCTCTCGTTCTCGTCTCACTCTTCTCTGCTCCTCGCTCCCGTCGCTCGTCGTCTCTCTCTCTCTCCCTCGCTTTGCTCGCGTCTCTGTCTCTCTCTCTCTCGCGTGTCCGAGCTTCACAAGCAGTTGGTGGGTATTGTGGGGGAGAATATACACAGACGGGAAGATGGGGGAGGGACATTAGGGGAAAGACGAGAGGAGGAATGAGAGGGGTGATCAGCCACAGCAGCCCGATCAAGCCGCGAATAACGGAAAGTTGAGCTAGTGAGGAGCTGAAGTGAAGCAGTGAGATGATGAATGGTATGGATGGAAGCTGTGATTACACCGCCACGCGAACTTACGGACTATACTGATCCGAAAATCTTCCATCCCTCGCACTACCTCCTCTCTTCATCTACTCTCTACTTCTGTCTTCCTTTCCTATAGTTCCCCCTTCTCACCTTTCCCGCTCTCTTCACTCACCTCCTTCTTCTATCTACTTCCCGATTCCCTTCTTCTCCTCCCCCTCCCCCTTCATTTTCCGCTCACCCACTACTTTCATCTTCCCCTTTTCTCAGTCCTCTTTTTCTTACCCCCCCTCACTTGTCACCCTCTCCTTACTCTCCTAGGCTCTCTCAACCCATCTTTATTATTTTGCATTCATGCTAACCGAACAACTGCCCGCAAGAGTCTAGATGTATGGAACGCAACAGTAAACTGGTTCTTACCCTTTACATTTCATCAGACGAGGCTGTATGTGGAATCATGGCATTGCGCCCACTGACCAAGAGTTTGAATTATCAAAAGTTCACCGCCCATGCGTCGCTTGCCTGTACCGGCAATTAGCGACCACTGTACAATGCTGTACCATATAACAATCTCGTTTTTCTTTATAGAATCTTATCGATTGCCATCCAAAAGCGGAAAATCTAGGTCCAAACTCCCGCTGCCTTATACTTACACATGATGTTAGCAATACGAGTGGTGAACGGGAACTACGCGACGGCGTGCAACCACGCTCCAATCGCGACATTCTTTGATTTTCGCGCATGCAAACAATTAAACATCTTTCACCTCACATGCATTGCTCACAAGTCTACACACAGTTTTCCCCGATATCTTCAGGCTTCTACAAGCCCCGGACCCCCCCCCCCTAGCACTGAGCAGCCCCCCTCTTAATAAAAAAGCGTGGAGAACTCCCTGTTAAGTCTATTATGTAATTATGCTCCTGATCTATCTTGCCAACTTCAGCTTCATTTCAATCAGCTATGCCAACACCATATTATAAGCATAACTTATGGACCCGAACCCTACTAATGTTAACATTAATTGAATTTATAGGAATAACAAAAATTTCCAGTGTCCCTTTTGCAACTGCACCTCCTTCCTTAAAATCTGATCGCCCCTGACAAAAATATACGCACTCGGATTAACTGCTATGAACAGGGTATGTTCGCTTCACTACACTAACCCCCCCTCCCGACCCAGCGGCGGGGATATGTGTCAAATTTACACGTTCATTGATCGATTGTATTGGATTCAATGGAACATCAATTTATCATCAAACGTTCACTTGAGCGATTGACGATTGTTCATTGCAATCAGTCTAATTCATTCAAACGTCTTATAATTGATCGATATTGTTCAATTGAACATCATCATCATTTCACGTTTCACTTGATCGATTGATGCTTCAATTGACAGTCCTCGGGGGTAATCATTCAATTGAGCAACTAATACACGAATTCCAAATTAATCGCAATTGACGATGACGCCATTGACGAATTGAGCATCCAAGGCCCGTATCTGAATAGCGCGTATGATCATGGACATAGAGCCAATTGCGAGCCCTCGCTCTATCGTCAATTGCGCGGCGCGTCTCTCGCCAATCAAACGATACCTAACTGCACAGCCGCCACAGTACATAGACGAAAGGCGCGGTTTAGCGCGATACGTTGCTAGGCAACGCATCGGCCCTGTTTCCCAGCGCGACGTTGCGGACGTGCGTGTACCCGCCTTTACGTGCGTGTATCTTGCGTGTACACCCCGTACCCGCGGGTACACGACGTACACCGTTGTACACGCACGTACACGCAGATACCACGCACGTCCACGCGTGTACCGCGCATCATACACCGGTTCCACGCGGTGCCGCACGTGCACTGAGGTCCACGCACTTACACGCACGACACGCGCGGTCCGCTGACACGCGGTACCCGCGTACACGCCACTACACGCGTGTACACCACATACACCGGGTACACGGCACCGTGCACGTCACGGTGCACCGTCCACGCAACGACCGCAGGTCCTCACGCCCGTACACGTCGTTAACACGCGGGACCACGCAGTGCACGCGGGTCACACGCACGTACACGCCACGTACACCACGTACACCACTTTACAGCGGTTTGACACGCACCGGACACGAACTCCACCACGTACCTCGGGTACACGCCCGTCTCGCGAGTGCACGCACGTCCACGGCACGTACACGGCGCTACCCCACGTCTACCATTACACGCCGTACACGCAGTACACGGCACCTACACGCGGACACGTAGACACGCCCGTCACGACGCTACACGCACGTACACTGCGGTACACGCACTTATCGGAACGCCGGCGATGCGTCCTAACAACGTCGCGCTACCGCGCCTCTGTGCGCCAGTGCGTAGCGTACGTATTTGATTTGCGATATACGAGCACTCGGCCATTGTAGTGGGCGGTATATGTGACATTTTTTACTTAAAGTGTGCCCTTCTCGAAAGAAGCATGTAAAAGTCCTCTAGGGCGGTTTCATGCTGATTTCAAATTGCAGGGACACCGATGGTCACTTCACGGTTCCGCCCAAAAATCAATAATTAAAGGCTACCGAAACATGTTTTCCAATAATCAGCTTTAGTGCCCCGTACCCTGATCTTGGCGTCTTACCTAGGTTCTTGACGTCAAAGAACGCAATCAAACTCTTGTCAATTCGATAATAATATCTTTCCCGCCCAAAAGCCTTCAAAGTTCGAAAATGGCCACCACTAAACACAGTTTTCCATAAAATCGAGTACCAGATCTTGCGTCTCTATACAGATGTTTTGCCGTCAATGGGACCCCAGTAGCACGATATAGCACACATTGTGATCTATCATCATCTTCCCGCCAAAATAACATTATCCGAATGGCGCACAAACGCTTCTTTGCCAGAAAATGGCTAACGCTGCCACGAATTACCAGATCTTCGTCTCAATATACCAGTTTTATGTCAAGGGAACTCGATGGAAACATGCAAATTCCTAACATACATTTCAAATTACAATATAAAATGTTTTAGATTACACACCGCAAATTCATAGAAATATGCCAGCGTTACTTTGTTCATATCTTGTTCACTTGCACAATGTACGCCTGTAAATCTACTTGATGGATCTGGCAGTCATTGCGTACCACACCTAATCTTTTCAACAATGTTGATGCAACATTGTGACTGTGCTTCACTTGCTGCACATGCTTCACCCTAAGAAGTCCCAACTTCTTCAACACATTTCCGAATATCACAATTGGTGTTCTGTTCCTATACAAAACCCATGCTACAAGACTGTTTCGCGTTAGATGTTTTCTGAGTCTACGCGCCAGCCTAAGCCGAACACGACAGAACCTTCATCTCGGTACTCATCTCCGGGTGGCCAAATACACAAGATGCCTTTAACTGCGAAGTCCTTCCTTCGCTGTATGCAACCAAGACAGCTGTTCCAATCTTTTAGCCAATGCCATTAAGAGTCTTCAACCTCCTCCACAGAGCTAATGAACTCCAACCTGGGCCAGAATCGATCATCTCCCATTAGCTGACCTTCAGATTTGTCTGCACACCACAAGAAGCAGACACACGGCTCCTGTTTTATGCTTCCCTTTCATTCCCTCAGGCGAAGTTTACCAAGCTATAATTACATGCAACGATACTGAGTGTGGTGGGTGGTATGCGCAATGCGATTGCTCAATCTGTTTTACCGACTGGTAAATATTGAGAGCATTTGTTCATGGTGATAAACTACTTTACATTCAGGCCACCTAATTGCAGCTGAATTGGCACCGATGCCAGGCCTTCTATTCTTCCACCAGAGTCTCAGGATGTGTACTGTTCCTGCCTTCATGTGAATCGAAAAGTACAGCTTGGGCTGTTTGGTGCAGGTTTGTTCCTCATCTCAAACCGATTCGCTCGGTTATCCCATGCTCCAGCGAGTATCCCCACCACGTTGACAAATAGAGAGATATGTTTTTCTCTGTGTATTCAGCAAACATCAGTCACTTACCGTTGTGACCATTGAAACCAAGGAAGCAGTTGTTCACTCAAACCCGTAAGATGGAAACCTTTCCTCTAACGTTGCATCAGGAACAGCATGTGAATAGATGGCTGTTTATCAGCAGGGCCAATCTGGGACCGTTACTTATAGAGACCCTCGAAGTTCCTATGCCATTTATAAGTCTGTGAGAGGTGACAATGATTCCCCATGACACTCATGCTGACAAGCTCTTCCAGCAGCAGCCAAAGCCTAGCAAGATTGTTAAATTGATTACAATCCAGTCTTGTACAAAAGATGCAGTGTCAAAGCACCAATCGCGATGTGCTACTCGCAGTGGCTTCGGTTCAGGACAGGTAAAAAGACTCAGTCAAGCCAAATCTGATCATATGACACTGACAGAGATCATCTCATGTTAATATATACATGATACCCATTGGATTGCTTTTACACGCATACGCGCGTGTCTCTTCTATTGCCGGCACTGGTCTCATGAATCTGTGAGAAACGACCCCTTATCCTGGTAATCGTGCAACGTTACACCATTTTATGCAATAGAATGCGTTTGGGTAGCCATTGTGGATGGTAATTTTATTGGGCGAAGCTTGTCAGCTAGATCACAGTTTCTTACCTTCATGGTTCATTGACCTCAAAAACATTATAGAGACCCAGATCTTACTTGCCGGGCACTTACAGCGATTTATGGCAAACTGTTTTGGTGGTGGCATTTTAATTTTTAA